AAGACGCCTCAAGAGGCCTCCAAGAGGCCTCCCTAGAGAGCCCCAAGAGGCAAACATGATTGAATGTCCTCAAGTTTTTGAAGGATTTCAGCGTTCTCGCCTTTTCTGCTTTCCGACGCTCCAAAACGGCCCAAACGGCGCCCAAGACCACCCCAAAACGGCCAAAGAGGCTTCAAAGAGGGCCCCAAGACGGCCTAAGTGCCCCCCAGGATGGTCCAGGAGGCGCCCAAGACAGCTCAACAGGACCCCAAGAAAACCCCAAAAGGGGCCCAAGAGAGGGAACACAAACTGAAAATCCAAGACATCCGCTCCAAGAGGCCCCCAGGAGGCCCCAATAGGCCCCCACGAGGCCCCAAGAGGCTCCCAAGAGGCTCCGAAGAGGCTCAAAAGAGGCCCCGAGAGGCCCCAAAAGGGCCCCCAAGAGGCCTCCAAACTGCCTCCAAGAGGTCCCAGGGACCCTCCCACGAGATCCCCAAAAAACATACAATAGGCTTCAGGCCCACAACCCAGGCACGGTGGCAGGATGGGCCGAAAGCCTTATCCGCCGCCCCCTGTCGATTCATCGCAGGGGTGCCTGGCGTGCTAGACCCTTTCGGTTTTGGTTTTGGTTCTTTTTCCAAAAGAACTTCCCCTGGGGCTTCGGCCCGTCTCGCCGGGGTCCCGGGAGGCTCTTCCGGGACCGCAAAGTCTCGAACAAATCCTCCCTGGAACGGCCGTTTCGCTCGGGACATCCTCAACAAATCGCGAAGATGGCCCAAGATGGCCTACAAGTCCGCCCAAGATGGTCCAAGACGGCCTCCAAGACGGCCCAAGAGAGTCCAAGACGGCCCAAGACGGCCCAAGAGGCCCCCCAGAGGCTGCCCAGACGGCCCAAGAGGCCTCCAAGAGGTCCTTTAGGAGGGCCCGAAGAGGCCCAAATCATTTATTTTTCATTGGTTTTCGAAGGATTTTGGAATTTGCTTCTTCTCGGCATTCCGACTGCTCAAGACGGCCCAAGAGGCACCCAAGATCGCCCAAGAGGCCCCCAAGAGGGCCCCATGACGGCCCAAGTGGCCTCCAAGACGGCCCCAAGAGGGCCCAAGAGACCTCCAACACGCCCAAGATGGCCTCCAAGACGCCCAAGATGGCCTCCAAGACGGCTTCAAGATGCCCACGTGTTCCCCGAAGGCTTTCCAAACCGATTCGGGGAACACATGGTCCGATAGCTTGGCAGGTCTGGCCTCAACGTTCGGCCACATAGGCGCTTCCAAAAAGGCAGGGGGCGGCGGTGATTCGCCGTAGGCGTCTTCGATTACACTTGTATACACATACATATACACATACATATACATCGACCACACACAAACACCTCTTTTGATGCCTGGGTCGGCTGCTATGTTGATGTGGCGATGCGTCGGAATGTCTACATAGATCGAAGTGAATATCGCCTAAAGACAAGACTGACGATCGAAACATCTATGAAACTCGTTATACGATTATCCAGTGAACTCTATAAGCATCCTGCTGCTAAATTCGTATAGGCCTACCCGGTGAATTCTCTCCGCGCAAGCACGTCGAAGCATGTAGATGTGTAGTTTTACATGTGTATGTACACGCATGGTTGCACATATGGTTGCAGGTGCATAGCCATGCCACCATGCCCAAGCAGATATTAACCTGTCAATGCATGCTGTACGCACGAACACTCTACCATGATAGCTAACACTCAGCCACCCCACCCACTGCAGTGGGATGTGACTAAGCTGACTGTCCAAACGCAGGGCGGCCAAGAGACAGTCGGGGGGCAACCACTGGATGAACACGAGATGAGGCGGCCACGGGACAATCCCCGCAGGCAACGGCGCCGGGCACGCGGGGCAGTCCTTGGAGCAGCGCGTCGTGCATGAGACAACCGCGGGGCAACCACTTGGGGGTGTTTTATATATACGTCGACCTCTGGGATGAGAAACGCCCGGTAGAGGCAGTTGTCTTGCAGAATGGAAGGCCGTGATGAGGCCACTCGAAAAGGATCCCGTCGCACGGGAGCCGGGCTCCGGTATCTCGCAAGGCGCAGGACTTGGGGGTGTCCAAGAGGGGACGTCCAACAGGGGGCCTCGCAGATCATGGCCCGAGGCACGTGAGCGGACGCGGGGAGACCCCATCGTAGCGCTGCCCCCGAGGCCACAGCACAGTCGCTCGCGGAGCAGCCCAGGAACACACGCTGCAGGCACGCCCGCGGGGAGCGTGCTTCGGCGAGACCTCCCCCTCTCTCTCTCTTTCTCGCCTGCGTGTGCATCACAAGTCGAAGCCGACGATGACTTCCCAGTGGGGTTTACTCCGATTCACTTCGATCGCGCACCCCAATCTCCAACTACAGCACGGGGGCTAGACGTACTCCAACACTACATCCTGGCATACCGAAGGGAACTTGGATGCAGACGAGAACGTGGATGAACACATGAACATCTTGACGCTCGCGGCTGCTACTGCATACACGCTTCTGTTGGCCGCGCGTCAACATGTGTCCTCGAGTCAGCCCGCCGCTGTAAACGTAGCCGCTAAAATTCGTGGCAACGCCGCGACCGTACCGCAGCGCGTCCACCAAGCCGCGACGCGGGCTCGCCGCGCCGCTTTGACTGACGCCGTCCGCGCGTTGTTCGGCGGCAGCGCCAGGCGACCCCACGCAGCGTCGCATGGCCATTTGTCCCCAACCTCCTCCTTCCTCCTCCCTCCCCCCACCCCCGCCTCCACCAATGCCTCCTCCTCCTCCTTCTCATCATCATCATCCTTGTCCTTGTCCTTCTCCTCCTCCCCGTTTTTGTCCCCCTCCTCATTCTTCCTCTTCCTCATTCGGATGTGAAGTGGAACTCCGCTCCTCCTCCTCCGCCTCCTCCTGCTCCTCCTCCCCCTTCTCTTCCTCATGATCATCATGGTCATCATCATCATCAGCAGCATCGGCATCACCATCATCATCAGCACCATCATCATCACCATCATCATCATCAACAACATGTTTATCATCAGGCTCCTCCTCCCGCCTTCCTCCTCGGCTGTGAAGCGAGACTCCGCTCCTCCTCCTCCTCCTCCTCCTCCTCCTCCTCCTCCTCCTACCCTCCTTTCTTTGGGGGGGGCCCGTGGGTCACACCCTCTCCTCGTCCTGCCCTGTTTCTCCCTCCTGCTCCCTGTTGCTCCTCTTTATCCCCCTCCGCCATCTCCGCCTCCTCCTCCTCCTCCTCCTCCTCCTCCTCCTCCAACTCCTCCTCCTCCGCCTCCTCCTCCTCCTCCTCCGACTCCTCCCCCCTCAGAGCACGAGGGGATGGGGGACGACCGCGCTTCAGCTCCAGCGGTGGACAGAAGGCAGCCACCACCTGGGGAGCGCGTCGACGTCCCGGGCAGCCAGGTCCAGGCGGCCAAAAGCAGAGCCCCGGCTAGGCTGCCAAGTGACTAACCCAAAAAGGGCCCTAACCCTTTGGGAGCGGACCCAAGTCAGAAGGGCCCCCGTAGTCAGGGATAAGGGGGTCTTCTCTGCAGACATAGCAGACCGAATCGCCCAGACAGAGTAGTCCTGATGCGAAGACGGGGACGTCAGTGAGGCCACGTCTTCATCGTGTTACTAGGGTTTGGGTTTCTTTTACTCTCGATGACCAAATGCAGACGATATTGCACCCGTGAGGAGGGAGGAAGGGAGGGAGGGGGGAAATGGAGGGGGTGAAGGGGAGGGGGTGGGGCAAGGTGGGTGCGCCCGGGCCACATCCAACACCTGACCCCTCACACCTTCCCCTACCCGTGTGAACGTTTTCTTCTTCGGCATTTCGACATTGGAGGGAAGGGGGGGGGAGAGGGGGGGGGTCTGGCTCCGGACCGCTGCTCAATGCGACTGTTTGCAACAGTGCGTCCTACGGGGGAGACCCCACCTGCTTGAAACAGGCGCCAAAAACAGCGCAAGAGCCACTCCACGGGGGGAGGGGGTGCGAGGGCCCGCGCCGATCGGCGAAACAAAGAATGAGAAAACGATCACCATCGCGCCGAACTCCTCCTCTTATCTTGTCTCCGCCGACCGGGGTGCCCTGCAGGACTTTCACTCCAAAATGGCCCCATGGCGCGAAGCGCCAGCATAACAACACAAAACACGTTGCACATTGGAGGAGGGGGAGCTCGCTTGCTTGCACACGGCTGCTACAAGACTGTACCACGCACCATCTCTCCATTCGTGTGCACGAGCAGGGGCCCTACACGTGCACCGAGGCGCGCATCTCGTCGCAGCAGCTCGAGGGGCCGAGGCGGTGCACCGCCAGCGAGTGGACCGAACGAGGGCCCGACATGGACGGAGGCCGGCGAGGGACCGAAGGCCGCGAGCGAAGGGCGACGAGAGGTGCGAGGAAGGGGCAGGCCACGAGCATCTGCCGGGAAAGTCGTCACACCTTGCCAGCCGCCCACGCCCGCACGGGCGTTCTTCTCTGCTGCCAGGTGCTCTCGGCTGCGCACCCCGAGAGGAGGAGGAGGAGGAGGAGGAGGAGGAGGAGGAGGAGGAGGAGGAGGTGGCGGATGAGAAGGAGCTCGCTCGGCAAGAGGGGACGGCAAGGAAGTGGGCCGAGCAAACGCCTCCTTTCGATACCGTGAAAAAAGGGCTCGGGTCCCCGGCGAAGGGGGGACGGTGGCCGCGCCGCCACCGCCCCCCGCGCTGGACGGCGCCAGGCTTCCGAACCGTGTGAGGGCCCGTGGCCGTCTCGTGGCGTCCCTGTGCGCCGGCTGGCGTCTCGGAATGCACGCACAGCCTTGCGCCACGTGGACGTGGGACCTCTTCCTTCCCTGTGCTTGGGAACCTTTGCTTGAAGGGGCCCCGGGACACACGAATAAACAGATAGACACAAATAACAAGATTCCCCACACTTTCCCATATTTTCTGGGTTCTTGTCTTCCCCCCCACTTCCCATATCTTCCCATATTTTCCTGGGAGTCGACGATTGACCGTGTCTGTGTTTTCCCCCCTCCTGATGCTCAGCGTATCGCGCAGCGGCGGCCCCGGCGACACGCTGTGCCCTGCGCGTGGGCAGCGCAGCGCTCCGCCCCGCGGGGCGGGCGGCGGGGAGGAACAGCGCAGGGCGTTGGCGTCTTCGGGGCGGGGTCCGGGCCGTGGAGGGCGCGTCTCGCGCGGGGCGCCACGGCAGGTCCCAGAGATTTGCTGGCCGTGGGCTCTGCCCCCGCAGCCACTGCCAGACTTGACGGTCCACCTCGGCGAGAGTGTCTTACCACGCGTACTCTGCACGAGCGCTCGTGCCCCACGACGCTTCAACACACGGCGTCCGGGCAGGCCCTTGTTCCACGCCCCCTCCCGCCTTCGTCGTTGCAGCCGAAGCTGTGAAGAGCACTCGTTCTGATTCTGCCAGCGCGCTTCCAGCGAGCTGGCTAGAACTGGTACGCTGCAGGCCACGCGCGCGCTCCCGGCCGCGCATGTCGGAACCATCAGATCATGTTCCAACAACTTCAAGAACCGCATCTGTGCCTCGAGGCACGAGTTGGGGTGTTCTCAGGTCATGCGTGCCCCGACTACTGGTAATTGCAGCCAGAAGGCTACAGGACAGGTCAGACGGCCCCGAGGCGCTCCTAAAGACGGTCCAAGAGAGCTCCGAATGGGGCCAGGGAGCGCTCCAAGACGACCTGGACGGCTTCGAGGCGGCCCAAGAGCCCCAGGACGCATCAAAAAGGGCACGAAGAGGACCCTCAAGAGGGCCCCGAAAAGCCCCAAGCGTCAAAATCCCATTGGATTTGTCCCGCGGTTTTAGCATTATCGCGTTTTTGGTATGCGCAGCGTCCAAAATGGCCCAAGAGACGCACAAAATCGCTCCAAGACTGCCAGGACGGCCCGAGAGGGCCACAAGATGGCCCAAGAGGCCCCTATGGCAAGCCCAAGAGACCCACGAATACTATTCTTGCATTGCGTAAGCTGCACCCCATGAGCTTGCACCACACAGCTTGCACCACCGAACTCGCACAACACATAATGCCCCACGTATACTGGATTAAAAACTGCATCCCGTCGACTGCACCACGTAATTAGAAAGCACATAACGGATACAAGGTGCCACTGTTGTCATGATTTATAAAATGAGCAGGCATGCGTGCACGGCAAGAACAGGAATGCACGCGTAGACTGAACAGCGACGAGTCAGCGAGCTGTGCCCACTAGAATAAGTGCAACCTGCACAGAAAACTGCGCGGGCGCTGCAGGGTGGGGACAAGCCACCCTGACTGTGTTATACAATGCGGCTGGAACCGCGGCTCGTTCAAATCAGCGGCGCAGAGCGCCGCAAACTCCTCCTCCTCCTCCTCACCCTCCCCTCGTCCTCCCTCCTCTTTCTCCTTCTCCTCCTTCTTACGTTGCACGGACGATGATCGGATGATCGCAGGGTCCCCCCCTCCCCCTCCTCCGCCTCCTCCTCCTCCTCCTCCTCCTCCCTCTCTTCCTCTGATCGTGATCCATCCTCCCTTCTTCATCCTCCCTCCGTCACCAGACCTATGTCCTCCTCGTCCTCGTCCCATCTTCTTCCTCATCATCGTTCCATGTTCCTTTCTCCTCGTCGTCCTCCTCCTCCTGTTCCATCCTCCTCCTCCTGCTCCTCCTCCTCCTCCTCCTCCTCGGCAACCGTCATAGTTCGTCACCCGCTTCCTCATCATTCTACTCGTCCTTCATCCGCGTTTTTTTATCCTGCAGGGAGAAGCCAGGAGCGAGAAGCAGCCGCGGCCAGCCGAGGGAGGCAAAGGGCGGACGCGAGGGGCATGGGCCGACCGACGGGGGGGGGAACGAAGGGAAGGAAGGAGGCACCACACACACACACACACACACACACACACACACACACACACACACACACACACGCACACACACACACACATACACACAAACACACACACACACACACACGCACGCACGCAAGCACGCGCGCGCAGACGCACACGCAGACGCACACGCACACGCCGACGCAGACGCACACGCGCACACACGCACACACGCACACACGCACACACTCACACACGCACACACACACAGAGACCACACACATATCCACACCACACTCACACACACACACACACACACACACACACACACACGTACGCACGCACGCACGCACGAACGCACCCACACACAAGGAGAGGGCAAGGCACGGAGAGGGGAAGAAGCCAGCCGAGGAAGGAGGCGAGAGGGCCTCCTCCTCCTCCTCCTTCTCCATCTCCGTCCTCATCCTCCTGCTCGTCGAGTCGAGCATCTGACGCCCACTCCGCATCTCCTCCTCCTCCTTCGCAGACTTCCTGCCCCTTGTCTTCCTCCTGCTGGCGCTGCTGCTCGCCCTCCTCTTTCGCCTTCCTCCATCCTACTCCTCCTCTTCCTCCGTCTCCACCTCCTCTTCCTGCTCCTCTTTCGACGGGTGTTCCTCACTAAGCACCTCAGTATCGTGGCTATCCGTCATCCCCCAGCTTTAGTCTGCGAGGCGGACCCCCGCATCGGCCAGACCCCGCCCCCCTAGGGGCTGAGGTGCGAGTGCACGACCCGCAGTCTAAGGATACATCCGAGACAATCCTCCACGTCCTGCCCCTCCACCTCCTCGTCCTGCTCCTCTTCCTCCTCCTCCCCCTCCTCCTCCTCCTCCTCCTGCTCATACTCCTCTTCCTCCTCCTCCTCCTCCTCCTCCTGCTGCTCCTCCTCCTCCTCCTCCTCCTAGACCGTGCTGATACATATGCCGACCCGCCACCCCCCCCGTCCCCTGCAGATGCCTCTTAGTACTGGGTGCTTTCGTGGATAGACGATCCGATCTGATGCTCTTCATCTTCAACCTCCGCCTCCTCGGGCCGGGCCTCCGCACCTGCTGCAGCGCAGGAAGCTGCGCGCCAGTGGGCGCCGCGACCCCCCGTCAGCCCTGGAAGAACAGCTTGTTCGAGCCGCCGGTGTAGCAGTCGGCCGTTGTCCTCGTGGAGGCGGCGACCGTCGCGGTGGTGAGCGCGGAGGCGAACGCGCTTGTGGCGTGGGCCTCTCTTCATCGCCGCCGCTGCTCTCCCTCCTCCCCCTCGGCCTCCCCGCTTGTCCTTCAGATGATGCAGGTGTTCCTCGTCTTGCAACTTTCCGTCTGCGTATCAACCTCCCCGTTCCTCCACCCTTCTCATCCTCGCTTCTCCATCCTACTCCCTCCTTCTCCTCTGGATCCTCGTCCTCCAGGTCATCCCTCCTTGTGCATGTCGCTCCTCCTCCAACTCAGCCGTTTTTCTCCACCAATCCCCTATTTTTCCCTCTGGCCCCCTCCCTCCACCCTCTTCCTTCCGCCCCCTCTTTTTCCATCTCGCTCCCTCACGTGTTGCTGTCCCCCTGCATCCCTGCTTCTCCCTCCCTCCTCCATCATCCGTTCCCTCCCCTCCCCTTCGATCGTCTACGTCATCATCACCATCATCACCACAACCATCACCACCACCACCACCACCACCACAATCATCATCATCATCATCATCATCATCATCATCATCATCATCATCATCATCATCATCATCATCAGCAGCATCATCATCATCATCATCATCATCATCATCATCATGATCATCATCATCATCATCGTCATCATCATCATCAGCAGCATCAGCATCAGCATCAGCATCAGCATCATCATCAGCAGCAGCAGTACCATCATCATTATCAGTAGCATTGACAGCGTCATGTCCATACTAATCATCACAACAATCTGCATCATCATCAGCAGCAACACCATCATCATCATCATCATCATCATCATCATCATCATCATCATCAGCATGATCACCACCACCATCATCATAATCATCATCACAGCATCACATATAGTATCATCGTCATCATCATCACCATCATCGTCATCAGCATCGTCATCGTCACCATCATCATCAACTTTATCTTCACTATCGTCATCAGCATCATCATCGTCATCGTTAGCATCATCAACAACATCGTCATCAGCATCATCATCACGAACACCATCATCATCATCATCATCATCATCATCATCATCATCATCAGCAGCAGCAGCAGCAGCAGCAGCACAAGCACCGTCGTTCGTCGTCGTCGTCGTCGTCGTCGTCGTCGTCGTTGTCGTCATCAACATCCTCATCCTCATCATATGTCCTCCTGCCTCCACCTCCACAACCTCGCTGCTCTCTCCTCTCCCCTTTCCTCATATCCGGCACCGCGCTTACAGCGGTTGGTGTGCGTGTTTGTGTGTGTGTGTGTTGGGACCTCGCTGTGTTCGGTACTGTAGCCTTTTGCGGAACAGTGGTTGCCGCTCCCCCCCACGCATCCAGGTGAACGTTTTCTTATTCGGCGTTACGACATTGGGAAGAGGAGGAGGAGGAGGAGGAGGAGGAGGAGGAGGAGGAGGAGGAGGAGGAGGAGGAGGAGCGAGGGGGGGGTTCTGGCTCAGGACCTTTGCCGAACGGGACTGTTTTCAGCAGGGCGTCCTGTGGGGGACACTCCTTCTGCTTGAAGCGGGCGCCAGAAACAGCCAAAATCTACTCCAGTGGGGGGGGGGTGCGAGGGCCCTGGGCCGATCGGCAAAACAATGCATAAGAAAACGATCACCAGCCCAACATCCGCTCGTGTGCTTGACCGAGTCCTTGCGCACTTGGCCTTCGGATCTTGTTTTTCCCGGCAGAAGCAATCCGCAACACAGCGTCGCCTCGCCCCGCTGCCCAGGCTCTACGCCCACGAGGGCGCCGCCTCCTGATCAGACGCGAAAGACCCAAATCAGAACTTGCTGTGGGGGGGGGTTCAGAGAAGCTACGCATCGGGCAAGCAGGCCCGCCCCATCCGCCCCCCCCCCCCACACACGCCCACCACCCGCCCCCCACACACAAACACAAACACAAACGCAAGCACAAACACAAACACAAGTACAAACACAACACAACACAATACAGCACAACTCAACACACACACACAAACACACGCACAGCATGACTGCCCCAAATGGTCTCCAAGACGGCCTCCAAGTCGGACAACATTATTTCATCTAGCATGGCCCCCACGGAAATCCAATATGGCAATATGGCCTTCAAGGCGGCCGCGCGCGATAGCACCAAGACGGCCCAAGACGCCCTCAAAACACTCCAAGAAACATCTAAGAGGACCCTCAGGAAGAAGTGAGTTTTCCCAAACCGTATACGACCCGAATGGCTTGGCAGATCTGAGCATTCGCACATGTTTTTCTCCCGACAGCCTCGGGCGGCCCAAGTTGCCTCCAACATGGCTCCAAGACGGCTCAAGAAGCCCCCAAAAATAATCCCAAGACGGCCCGCAAGGTTTGCCCCAGAGGCCCTAAACAGAGCCCCGGTGGGGGCTGCAAGACGGCCAAGAGACCCCCGAGGTGACCCAAAAGGCTCCCTGGGGCCTGTCCCCCTGCAAGGGGATTTGGAGGAAAAATGGAAAAATAATCCCCCAACCCCCCTGATTATTGTTTGACTATTTTTGAATATTCCTCCTGTGGAGGGACAGGCCCGACTTAACAGTAGTCCCCTAAGCCTCTGCATGAAGCACCGTCACAGTACCCACCTCTGCAGCCCGAGAGTCGCGCACGCCCGCAAGCACATTATGCACTCCAGGTGCGATTTCGCGCTGAAGCGATGAGCACACGCTTCCAGCCAAGCCAACGCCTTCAGCGCCAGTTCGCCAGCCAACCAGTCAGCCAGCCACTCTACCAGTCAACCCACCTACCAACAACCCGACCATCCAAAACAGAAATGCTGTTCTTCGATCGGGCAACCAACCAATCAACCGACTGACCAACCAACCGATAGACCAACCAACTGGCTGGCCAACCACCCCAACAAATCTCTCGTTTCACATGGCAACCAACCAGTCAGCCAGCCAACCACCCAACCAGCCAGCCAAGAAACCAACCATTGTTGTTGAGGATGTCCCGTACTGCACAAGCCGGGAACATCCAGCTTGAGCCTGGCAAACATCTGATCGTGTATCCCTGAAGAACATCGAACCTGTCCTCATCGCAAGCGCGGTGGCGGCTATGTGCGGCAGCGCAAATGGATATTGCTCATTCTCTCTTCTGGCGCCTGGCTCCGCCCACCGTCTCCACCTCCGTCTTGATATTCAGCCTCGCCATGCACCCCACGTCCTGACCATTCCTGCTGCTACCCCTTGCCGCCCTTGTCCGCTTCCTGCTTCTCCTGCGCCCCCCCACCTTTCCCTTCTCCCGCGTCCTCCTGACCTGCCCCATCCTTCGCGCGGGCCTCCACGGTCAGAGAGTTCGACGCGTCTGTGTTGACAAAGGTGTACTCGAGAAGCTGGTTCGACAGCTGCGTAGAACCGACGTAGGCGGTTGAGCACCCCGCGATCCTCTGGGATGAAGGGGCCCATGGACTCACACATAAATGCACATCAATCCCGGGACTCCCCATACGTTTCCATATGTTCTCGGTTTTCGTCTTCCCCCCCCCCCACGTCCCATACGTTTCCCTCATCCTCCTAGGGGTCGACGATCCATTGTGTCCTGTGCGCTTCTCCCCCCTCCGGAAGGAAAGAAACGCACCGAGGCCGCGTCCGCTGCCCCTTTCCCTCCTCCTGCCAGGTGGCACACCTCCGCCTGGCCGGCCACGCCAACAACAGCCGGGGAGACGTAAGACCCGGGTACGGGGGACTCGGAAATCCCCGACGAGGTCGTCAACAAAAGTGACGAGGCCGAGCGTGCATTTTGACGAGGCCTCCCGCTGCAGACATCCCACGAAACTCCTCCTCGTCAAAATCCGAGTCGCGGTCGTCAAAAAAAATATGGCGAACCCGAGTCCTGGCAAACCCGGGTCTTACGCTCCCCCGAAACAGACACCTCCCCCTCCTGACAGGAGGGAGGGAGGAGAGGAGAGGTCTGCCTCTTCCCTCCCGCGCCTCTCCTCGTTCCGCGCTCCCGCTCCCCTGACGCCGGCCCCGACGCAACCACCGCAGCGCGCGCACACACACACGCACACACACACACACGCACACACACACACACACACACACACACACACACGCGCGCGCGCACACACACGCGCACACATGCGCACACACACGCACACACACGCACACACACACACGCGCACACACACACGCACACGCACACGCACACACGCACGCAAGCAGCAACTCCGCACGCGCACGCGCGCCAGGAGGAAGAGAGAGAGAGAGAGGACCGGGGCCCTGCACACAACCCCGAGCCGAAACGCACACAACTCCGCGAGTCCGGAGCCTCCCGGCAGAGGTCCCGATTCTCGGCCGTGAGCTCACATCGGGTGTGGCTAGAAGTACCCCTGGCCCAAGGTACCCCCAGGATTCTCGGGGTGGCCCAGGCGGCCTCCAGGGCACCCCTCACGAGGCCCAGAGGACCCCAGGGGCTCCGAAATGAAGCGACAAGCTGGGGGCACCTTGGGCCAGGGGCACTTCTGGCAGCACCCGATCACAGGGAGCCCCATGGACCCCGCCGGGAGTTGGCGGCGCGCACAAGGGGGTAGGGGGAGGAGGGAAGGCTTCTTAGGAGCGCCCCTGCTCCCTAGAGTGCGCGGGCCCTGCATCTGTAGATCGGGGCCCGCGCCTTCTACGAAGCAGGGGCGCTCCTACGAAGCCTTCCCCCCTCCCCCTGCCCCCCCCCGTCTGCGCGTGGCCGACAGCCAGTGTGCCGCCTCTCGGCCATGACCTCACGGGGAGCCCCTGGACCCCGCCAGCACGGCGAGGTTCCACTGGGGGAGCACCACGAGGCTGGACCGAGGGCTGGCCCCAGAGCTCTAGCTCCAAGGCAAGTCCTTCAAAGTCCCGCTTGGCGGGGATGACCCGCTCCAAGTCCTTCAAAACTCTAGCTCGGCCTTCAGTTGGGCGCCCCACGCAGCGCTGAGGAAAGCGCAAGCAGCCCTCCAGGCCTACAACCTCGACCCACAGGAGGGAGGAGGAAGAGTAGGAGGACGAGAAGAGGGGCAACAACGATCAAGAATGAAACGTTGCTTTAGAACTCCATGAATGTTCAGTATGATATGCACGCGCGCGATTGGAGCACGGCAATGCTCACTTGCAACGCGTTGTGGCGTCGCCGCCCAAGGGTCCGGTCAAGTGGACCCCGCAACAATGGGGGGCGAAAATATCACGCTTCGCGCAGACGCGCAGACGAGTGCAGCTGCACTTGGCAACTGGACATGAGTCAAGCACGTTTCGAGTACTGGACATGGCGTCGACCTGACGTCCGGTCACATGACGTATGAATTCATACGGCGCGCAAGTCGTTGCAGATGATAGACAATCGACGCAGCGTTCATGCTATCCGAGGTCCTAGACTTGGCATTGGGGTGCCTGGGATAGTTATTTGCGCCACGCTCTGCCCTTCAGCAGACAGGCCAGGGTAAAGGAGGAGAAGCATAGGGACGAAGGCAGGAGGGAGGAGTGAGGGGGCGTGACGATGAGGGGGCAGCTGATTTGAGAATGTGCCCCACCCAGCCTGGCACCAAGCATGCAACTCGCTTCGACCTCGTGGAGCGCACCCAGCAGTGCTCCCGCTGTCTTGACCATCGACCAAGAGGCCTGGCTGCGAGAGGCTCAGCCGCTGGGATGGGTCGGATTGGCCTGCTCCTCCAAGCCACGAGACCCGCAAGGCTGAGAAACATCGGTGGGGGGGGGATAGGCAGCCAGCTGGAAAAATCCCAGGCAACTCCCTGTTCAGAGCCTAGGGGTGGCTTAACCCTTTGAGCAGGGACTGACCGTCCCGGTATTCCTATAGTCCTACCACGAGATGTTCTTAGAACCCAAAAATGTTCGAAGAAGAAAAACCGTGTTCTTAGAACATCAACCCGATGTGGCACAACAAAACAGACTCCGCCACAAATGTTCGAAGAGCATTCCGTGGAAACCACAGAAAGGTTCTGAGAACATTGTTTTGGTAGGGCTCTGGGCGAGCCAGGACGCTCCGCCACTGCCCGAACCCTGGCCCGTGCCCCGTGGCAAAGCGTCCACGCTGGCTGCGGGGCCGCGCCCTGGCGTGCCCCGGCTCCAGGCCGTCCCCCCGTCGCGCCGCCGTCGCCCACCGCGCGGACCGGCGCCGACCGCGCCGCAGCTGCCGAGCGCGCCCCTTTCTGCGGCTCCCGCCGCAGCAAAGGGGGCGGCGCGCTCGGCCCGCAGAGTCGCTCCGCGGCGCCCGGCGGGCGGCCGCACCGCCAGGGCAGCAGAGCTCCGAGGGCAGCAGACGCGTGCGCGCCGCCGAGCGATCGCCGGCGCCTGCGGCTCCGGCCGCAGAGGGGCGCGCCCGGCCGGAGAGGCCTCGCAGATGGTGCGAGTGAGGCGCGGGGATCGCGCCGCATCGCCGATGCATCGGCGACGTCGGCGATGCATCGGCGCCCTCGGCGTGGAGAAGCGCTGGCTCCACATCGAGCCGCATCGTCGATGCGGAGCGATCCCTCCGCCTCGTCTACCCGGGCCCCATCTGTGAGGCCTGGAGGCACGCCAGCTCGTCTGCCTGCCCAGCGGGCGGAACTCGGAGGCTCCGCCCGCGCGCCTTCGCGAGCACCCGACGTGGAGGGGGCCCGCCCAGGAGGGCAACGAGCGCGATGCGCGAAGGCTGGGGCGGTCGCGCATCCGAGGACTGCCGCTGCCTGTCGGGGACGCTCGACGGGCATCACACTGTCGCAGTCTCTGCCGCACTGCCTCGCGCACCGGCGCGCTGCAGCGGCCGCCATCGCTGCAGAACTATGCGGCCTCGAATTGGCTGTTGACTACATGGACGGCTTTGCTGGCTTGTCAGGTGTTCCATTAGCACTCGTATGCAGAGGTGTCGAATGCACCGAGACATCCCCTTCGTAGGCCTCCGAACAACATGCCGGCCCACATCCTCACACTCAGCAGTGCGACCGTGTGATCCCCAGACCTTGACCCCATCCAACACAAATTAAAAACCACGTTCCCACCCTGGCTTCACGGAGCAGCGCGGCGCCTCCAACAGGGAGGACAAGGGCGAATGAGAAGAGGGAGGTCCTCCCCCCTCCCCCTCTTCCATCTCCTCCTGGACAGTGACGACGGCCATCCTCCTCCTCCACCCTCCACCTCCACCTGGCGATCCCTTCGTCCTCCTCGTCCTCCTCGTCCTCCTCGCCCTGGAGCGGGCATCGACGCCTACGAGGGCGACGACTACTGCCACCGAAGCGTGACCACGAGGCCACGAGTCAAGACCGCGACCCCTTTCGCCAAAGAGTCGAGGCCCCACGGAGACACTCCTCCTCCTTCTCCTCCTCCTCCTTCTGCTCCTCTTCCTCCCCCTCCTCCTCCTCCTCCTCCTCCTCCTTCTCCTTCCCCTCCTCCCTCCTGCCTCCTCTCCTCCTCTCCACCTTCTCCTCCACCTCATTCAAATCATTCTTCTTCTTCTCCCCCTCCTCCTCCTCCCCTCCTCCTCCTCCCTCTCCTCCTCATCATCATCATCATCATCATCGTCGTCCTCCTCCTCATCATCACAATCCTTCTCCTCTCGCTCCCAAACGAGGAGCCCTCCCGGGCTGAAGAGCCCAAATGCGAAGAGCATAAAAAGCACGTGTCCCCCAAGAGGCCACTCCTGGGAGGTCCCCGTTGGAAGGAGCAAAGGGCGACAAAGCCAGAGTGAAGGGCCATGTCCTCACACGATTATGCCGGATTGAGCCTGGGATCAAGCCGTATTACGCCGGGTGGAGCGGCATGAAGCGGGAGTAAACCAGATTGAACCGGATTAACGAAGATTGCATTTGTTATCGACTGCGAAAATACCAGCGCCAAGCTCGAAGAGCATACAAGTGCACGTGTACCTCATGAGGCAACTCCTGGGAAGTCTCCGCTGGAAGGAGCCAGGGCGACGAAATCCGATTGAAAAACCACTTCTTCACCGGATCAGGCCGGATGAAGCCCGGGATAAAGCCGGACTGAGCCGGATGAGGCGGGATGAAACGGGATCACAGCATATTCAACCGGATTCAGCCAGATTGCATCTGTTACCGACTGCATCCCAGGGTACCCCTCCGAAGCTGGGTTTGTCCTCGACGCCCATGCCAGCTTCGACTACATGCAAGAGTGACCCTGGGTAAGAGCGACCTTTGGTGCGCGGCTTCTGGGGACCGCTGGGGGACCAAAACACGAGGGCGCAAGACGCTGCTATCGCATCGCGTTCGGCGACCGGGAGAACCAATTTGGCCCGCAACAAAGGTCACTCCGGCGATTTTTTCTGATAGCGCAACGCCACACGCACATTGCCCGAGTCCTGGAGACAGCACGGCGGCAAAACCCGAATGGCGCCGCCGGGTCGCCGAGGGACCTCTACGGTCGCCACCACAGGGCTCAGAGGTGCAGCCGGTGGGCCCACAGTCGGACCCATAGGCCAGAAGAACATGCTTCAAGAACGAGGAGGAGGCCCAGGGACACACCAAGAAAAACACACCAATCCCAGGAATCCCGTAGGAAAGGTCACTCCGGCGAAAGGTCGCTCTTACGCCTAGTCGACAGCTGTACGGCCGTCGCTTTGCACCACGGGGAGCGCCCAGCAGGGGACGGAGGGGCCCGCCTGGCCACGGCGGACCTCGGCCACTGCACAGGCTCTCCCTGGCCTAGATCCACAGCACGGCACGAAGAACCGGGGCCCCCTCCTCCCCCTCCTCCTCCCCCTCCTCCTCTCCTCATCCTCCTCCTCCTCATCTCCTCCCCCTCCCCATCCCCTCTCCTCCTGCCTCCCCTCCTTCCATCCATCCTCCTCCTCCTCCTCCTCCTCCTCCTCCTCCTCCTCCTCCTCCTCCTCCTGGATCTACAGGACGGCCCGACGAACCAGGGCCCCTCCCGAACCAGATCCACTGTATGAGCATAAGCTGCCGGAGCTCCGCACAGATTTCTCGGATCGGCGCTGGACCCCCTCCCCACGGAGCGCGGGGCAAGCCAGGGGGAACGCAGCGCCGATCCAAGAACTCCGCGTGGAGCTAGGATAGTTTGTGCTTGAGCAGCTGTTTGTTCCTCGGTGGATCTGCTAGCGGCCCGAAAACCAAAGCCCATCCTAAGCCCAAATCAAATCTTATTTCGGCGTTTTGGCCGTGAGGCGACGGTCGGTCCTCAGCGTGGCGGCAGACGCCCCCGTGAAAATGAAGCAGGCGGGGCAGCGCTGACTGTCGATGCAGCTCGCATCGCTCACGACTGCGTCGGTGGACGCCTGGAGAAGGATGAGTGGTGAGGAGTGAGTGGGAGGGAGGGCGGGGGACAGTGAGAGAGAGGATTGAGGGAGGAGAGGGACGAGGGAGGAAGGAGGAATGAGGAGGAGGGGGGAGGATTGAGCAGGAGGGAGGAAGGAGGATACAGGAACGAGGGGGGAGGGGGAGAAGAATGATGATGATGATGCTGATGTTGATGATGATGATGATGATGATGATGATGATGATGATCGCACTCCCCTGAGCGCGCCAGAGAGGGGGGCAGTTCAGCTGCCCTCTGCCGCGGGCCTCCTGATGAGCAGGCTCCGCACGCCGCGCCCCTTCTTGGCAATGTGGCGGGCACGCGCGCGCAGGAGAGGCAGCAGGCATTCGGGCCCGTACCTGTGCGAGCTCCTCAAGGAGTTAAAGGTAGAAAAAAGCAGGTCGTGGACAAGAAACAAAGAGAACAGCTGCTGACTAGACTGGCATGGCATAGTGCACAGCATACGCGCATCGAGGCTCTGATTCAAATATTCGACTGGCAGGAAGGGCAAAACAGAATGGAGCAAGCTCAGGACATGAGGGCAATCGAAGTAATGCTGGACGTGGTCGCCGCCTGTGGCCAGGCAACCGAAACGGCAGGTAAGACGGCCTTGCCTATACCTGGCAGAGGTCGCCCACGCGTTGCAGATGGTTTTGAGAATGGCCGCAGCCACAAATGGGCCGACGCGCGCGCAGGCAATTTGGAGCCTGAGCACCGCAAGGTCGATACTAGAGGCATCAGCAAAAGGAAAAGCGAACCGAATTCGATTGCCCAGGAGAAAACTCGCGGAGCTACAAGGGGCCTCAGAAAGCAATTTCTTCAAAATCTGTCTCTGCAACTCGTGAGTGTCCTCATCGAAGTGGTTCCACGGCAGGGCAGTTAGTCGCTCGTAATTGTGAATCAGGTGGAAAACAATGGACTCGGCACGCCATGCCGGGTATCGCTTGACCATCAGAACATCCAAGTCCTCTTCCTCAAGCTCATGAAAGCGCTTCCGAATGCTATCAAAAACCTTAGACCGAACAGCGACCCGATACATGGCAGCCTGATTCTCCAGCACTAGGTTGCGCGGGGCAATGGGCCAATGCAACGCAGACGAGAGATTGCGGAGAAGATCAGTAGGGATGCTGTAGAAGGGGCATGCGGTGAGAGTCTGCAAACCTTTGGTTTCCATGCGAAGAGCGTCCTGCGATATGTAACATAGCTGCATCACGAAGGTGAGAACCGAGAAGGCCAAGGAGTTATATGCATAGATACTTTGAGTAAGCCCAAGACGAAGCGACCGAACATGACGGACGCGATTAAAATATTTCTGAAGCGGAGCGGACCAGGATTTCTTGCAACCTCCAGGGCCCAGAAAGACACCCAAGACTTTGCCACTAGTGCCGTGCATAAGCGAGCGAACGTTGGTGCGAACGGACTCGAACAGGGCGAAATGCTGGTCGTCTGGCATCTCTTGCACGTGCACGATCATACACTTGGCAAGGTTCAAGAGCAGGCCAGTGCAACGGCTGGACCTAATAACATTCTTCAGCACAATCGGAACAGCGAGCAACAGGTTGGATGCCGAGATCTGGATGTCATCTGCAAAGGCACGAGGGGTAGCACAAACAGGAGCTAGCAAGTTAGATAATCGGCGCAGCAGCGGGTCGATGCATAACGCAAATAAAGCACCCGACAGCGGACATCCTTGTTTAATGCCTTGGGTGATCGAGTAGCCTGGAAACTTCTTTCCTGCTAGGCATATGTGTGTGTAAATACCGGTGTATAGGAACCGAATGGCATTCACGATATACATGGGTATGTTCATCATGATTAGCACATCTATGATCCAGTCGTGGCGCAGCGACGGGAACGCGGCGCGGAAATCCAAGAGGAGTAGCCCAGCGTGCGGCATGCCGCGATAGCAGGCGTATTCAAGAATCTGCCTCAAGGCAGAGCAAGTTGTCGAGCATAGACCTCTTGCGCACGAAACCCGTCTGGGAGCCTAAGACGCTGTACTGGCATTGTTGGCTAAATGGTTCGCATATGGCCAATGATACTATTTTGTTATCAGTGTTGCTGAGAGCAATAGGGCGCACCACAGACGCTTCCCGAGAGATCTCAGAGGTTCCAGCTTCGTGAGGGCAGATGGCCTTAGGGAGGTATACCGTGAGAGACTCGTTGAAGCCTTTATGCGGGGGCCCATATGTAGGATTGTCCAATATAGCGAGATAAACTTGATACAAGGCATTGTGAGCAGCGTCTCCAGCGAACCGCCAGGCACTGTAGGGAATTCCGTCAGGGCCAGTCGCGCTGTCCTTGCGGCTGACGAGCTTACCTATGAAGCTATGCAGGTCGAGCGCCCACTCGATACCTGGGGCAACCTGCTGAATCTCACTGCTCAACAGTGTCTTCTGGAAGTGGTATCCCCTGTCCTGAGGCTTCGCGGCATGGACCCGCCCCCAGTGGGACGCAAGGTTCTGAGCACTGACTTCGAGATCAGGCGAGGGGTTCCCGGTGGGGTCGGGGACCGAAACCAGAACGATTCGGCGCCTTTTGGGAGACCACTGTCGCAGAAGCTGGTGCAACCGGAGGCCTCGATCGTCGTCGGGGGCTCCGCCACCTGCGACGTGTTCGCGAATTTCTCGCTGAAGCAGAGAATGCTGGAGCTCGGCCATTTCCCGATAAAAAGACACAGAATCTCTAAAACAACATTCATCAGCATGAACATGTAGACTAAGATGAGGAATAGCCTGGATACACCTCCGAACGTCCCAAGACTTGCCATCCCGAACAGCCCGTAGAAACTTAAGGTAAACCGACAACTTCTGCGCATCATTGTTGGGGCCTCGGAAGAACATGCGAGTCATCAGAGCATCCTTGGCAACATGCATCGCGTCTTTGACGGACAGGAGGTACTCGAACGGGTCCCTGGGCATTTCAACCGAACTTATGGCAGCATCAACCTCAGAACCAAAATCAGGATGTTTGGCAATCCAGGAGGGGATCGTCGGGGTAGTTCTGCCGCCAGGCGAAAACTGAAGCCAAACAGGAATATGGTCGCTCGGCTGGGCGACATCGTGAGCAAGACCTATGACACCGCTTCTTGGTGTCGCATCAAGAATGTCGGTGGTGGCAGAAGAGATGTAGAACCTATCCAGGCGACCAAGGCTGAGAGCACCGTCCTCCCTCCTCCCAGTCCGATGAGTGGGCTCCTGTTGGGCAACTTCAGCAAAGTGTCCGAAAGCCCGAGAAAACATGTGTAGAATAGCGGTCCTCTCAGGGGTGGGTTCCCTTCCGTCAGTGAACGTCCTCATCTCCCCCTCCTCCAAGAAGTTAAAATCGCCTCCCAAGATGACTGTGGCCTGATCAGCAGGCAGAGCGTGAGCAGCAACCGCGCGGATCACACGATCCTTCTCAACGTCGGAGGGGGTAGGGTCGAGGTGAAAGTTAATCAATTGCAGCGTGCCTTTCTCGCCTGTCAGTGTAACTGCTATGCATCGTCCATCGATAATGTTAACTACGTGGATGTCCTGAAAGAGCTGGAGCAAGGAAGGATCAATAGACATGGCAACGCCTCCCGCAGCCGCAGAAGAGCAAAAAGAGCAAAGGTGCGTGTGTGCTGGCACGTCACGATCCAGCGAGGAAAGATCTTCTTCGGTCCCGTGGGTTTCCTGCAAAAATACTACTTGAAAGCGTTGTACAAGACTTCTGAAAATCTGCTGTTTCCGATGCTGTCTCTGTGGATCGCCGTAAACACTGCCAAAAAATGCACGAGTATTCCAAGAAGCAAGACCCATAGCACGAGAAATAACAAATGGATGCCGCTGCTCAGCAAGAGCAGCTTCACCTCCCCCAGGAGAGTGTGGATCAGGAAGGTAGGGATCATGAATAGCTGGAGCATTCTCAGGAGGAAGAGAGTCAGGCGGTGTCGAGGTGGCCTCCCCCCGTTCTCGCAGCAGGGCTCGCAAACGTTCAGGATCGAATTCATCGTCACTATCGCTCCCAGATACTGGCTCACTCCGCCCCTATTCGCGGCGAAGCGCAGCAGTGACCAGCTCGGGCAGCTTGTCTACTTGCTCGTCGGTGAAGCCGTAGCGCTTCAAGTTGCCGCGGTTGGGCTCGACGTTCGGGTTGTCGGTCTCGAGGACATTCTGCAACACGACGAGCTCGTCAACGAGGTCGCCGTTGACCAAGAAGCAGAGGCCCATGTACTTGTTGCATCGGAGCTGCGAGTCAGGACGCCATGTGCCAGCGTCGGTCATGACCTGCTTGATGTGTTGCCAGACCTGGCCCAGCACCCAACCTTTCTTGCGGATGTCGATGGGTTCGTCGGTGCCGACCCGAAGCCGATGCCGAAAGCCACTGCCATCTCCCCATTCTAGCGTCATGGCACGCAGCTGCAACAGGGCATTCTTGGCGTCGTCGGCGTCTTCGAAGATGATGACGTAAGCGTACTTGCAGCTCTTGGTGATCGCGCTGCACTTGTCGCGGTAGGTGGGCGAGAGAAGTGTCTTCAGGAACTCGAAGTGCTTGTCGAATGCAGAAGCCATCAGCTTGACAGGGAACCCTCGCACCCAGAGCTTCCGCCTGTCAGCAGGCGCGGCGCTAGCTCCACGGGGCGTGGCCACGGTCCCCCATGTGCTGGCGATGCCAGACGCCGTCGAAGGTGGTCGTGAAATCGTAGCGACAGAGGTCTTCAGCTCCTCGAGTGCGGCATTGATGACGCTGATCTTCTGGTCGGTCTGAGCGCTAAGTAGTGAAACCGTCAGGCATGTGTCGACCATCTCGTCAGAGGCTTCGCCGCCCGTGATGTTGCCGTGGCGCTGCTGCAGGGCGATGATCTGGTTCTGCATGTGCTCGAATTTGATGTCCATCTCATTGCGCATGTCGGTCTTCATGCTCTCCATGTCTTTGGCGAGGCTGGCAAACTTAGCGTCGTGGGCATTGACGGTGGCTACGACGGTGGACATTGATGCCAGCAGCTGATCCATTTTC